TATTACATTTAAAAGTAACTTTCCCCAACACTGGTTATAACGTACAAATTCTTAATTCCCCCGAGGTACGTTGTAACGAAGTTCGACTGTATACTCTACTGGATGACCAAAATGTTCCCACACCGCTGACTTGGATGTGTCGGAGTCCTCTGGAATCTCAAGGTTATTGTCCACCTGGAGCTAATGAAACTAGCCTAGCGCTTACCATAGGCGCCATGATTGATCCAAAACAGTCATGTGACACACTCAGCTGGAAGACAATAAAATTGGTGTAAGGTGTGAAATTTACATAGCGTACAGCTTACCCTAACTTTAAACAGAATAATAACATTGTGATTTACAAGTGTTATAGTGTTAATAATGAAAAATGACTTTTGTAACATTAGTGACATAATTGGGAACTGAACAGGCTGCAGCGGAGTGGGTTGTAGTTGGGGTTCGGGGGGGCGGGGGATATCATGGTACCATCTTCCAGAACTGCGACATGAGGTCGTAACTGTTGTATTGTGGTTTTGGTCTTGGTTTCAGATCCGTTACACCATTCGCGAGTGCACATGTGCAGGCGTTCCAGAAGTACTGGAAATTTTTGCTATAAAGGGCTAAAATGCTGTGAAACACGTATTTGCTGAAATGCTTCGATGCTTCGATGACGCCTTCAGTGTGGCTGCACAGGCCAATGTCATAGTGGCTTTGTAAGTGCAATGGAGTGTCACACACATTTACCATTTTTTTATATGTTGGGCTGACAGTGCTTCAATGTTTTCAGTAATTTCAATAAATTTCTTTATGCATTTATTTGGGGGCAGGTACTAGTTTTTCACCCCCAGCCAAATCTGTAAAATTAAAGATTGAGGCCTTACAACAACACCACACACTCTCTGCCTGCCAGTTCCTCACCCATGCAGAATACAGTGTTCTGCAATGATGCTGGTTTCAGATTGCACTGATAATTCCATTCATGGCCTTCACTAGCTAATATCATAAAAATAACAACAAACTGTAGGGGACTTTCAAATGGTGGGTACACCACCAGATTCCTCATTTCTGGGCATGGTTGCTTTTCTCTATAGTACAGTACTCTAATAATACTTATATCAATATGTACTTTGTGGCCAAGGTCAGTTTGGGATGGCATCACTGGGGGCATCGTCAAGAGCAATGACTGACCCCCACCAACAGGATCGGGGGCCACGCCGGAAACCACGGCGGATTTTCATTACGTGATCGTGCTCTTGCTAATTAATAGTTCACTTGGATATTGTGTAAAGTGATGTGAATGCAATGATGGCAGTGGGTGAGCGCTTGCTGCACGACAGTTTCGTCTGTGTGCTCAATCCGTCTGTGAAATCGGACATAATTTAGAGAGTGAACTTTAACATTCATGTAAAACTCACGATGTGTGTATTGTGAAACAGGATGTTTTGCAAAGTATGGTCACCGGCTTTGCTCTTGTGACTCATCCTGACTCTCACCAGGAAGGTCACACTCTGGTGCATACATGTGTGTATGTGTGCGACCTTTTAAAGGTGCCTTTGCGGCACAGAAATGTGTGTGAAATGAGGTGGGTGTCCTAAGCCACTGAGGACTGGTTTGAGAAACACTGCATTAGACCACCACTGGCTGCCACTGTCAAACTGGCCACAGATGAGACTGTCAATCTTACTACTTTATTTTTTGCATCATTTGACATTCTGCAATGTGCAGGTGAGTGAGACGCTTGTGTTCAAGTCTCACAACAACTGCAATGGAAAGTGCAATTGGAGGGGCACAAAATAGTGCGTCACTTTAGAGATAAATACAGTAATAGGCAGTGAATAGGTTTATTGACCAGCGTTCAGCATTTTGATGGTCAGTGACCACGACGCTGCCCTGCTAGCTAACAGTAAACTTGAAAATTTTCTCTGGCGAAGCACCGCGAAGTGAATTTTTGATTCGTCACAGAAACTGTCAATGAAAGAGATAAGGTGAACCTGTGTGGTGTATGACTCTAAACAGCAGCTGTTTGCCTTCAGAAATGTTAAACATTTCTTCTGAGGAATTCCACCAAAAAAAAAAAAAAAAACGAGGCATGCTATATTTTCTGACTTTCCAGTAAGCCTATAGCTTGGCTGTTTTTACGTGGTGTGGTGTTTTTCCCTGTCGACCCAGTACCACTGGCGTTAAAATGTATCACTTTTGAGGTGTTCATATCTGGGCACTTAAGCAACGTAGTTTTGTACAGAAAAAAAAGCTATACTGTGGAAATATATGCAGCAGTAGCAGACCTATACGCTGTTTTTCTGCGATAGGCGTACTGTACGATGCTGTTCGGTATTAAATTACAGAAACTATATGGCTGTTCTTACCAGAGATGTTCTTTCTGACATCGGAATACTCCCACTAAACATTGGACGTCGGATAGGCGTGCAGATCATGTCTATATTAGGTCCGTCAGTCCATGACCAATTCTGGACAAACTAGGTCCACAATTTGAACGTCCATCCATGACCCAACTTGCACGTCAATATGACATTCAACATTTGAACGTAATTTTTTTGACGTTATTTTAACGACTATGACAGGTGCAGGAAATATAGTTTTA